CCAATCTATTAGAATCTTAAATAGAATGAACGATTATGTATCTCGAATATCTGAAGCCAAATTTATTAAATGTTTTTTTCTTTTATTTTTTTTACAGCTTCTCATAAATCTGAAACAATTTCAAAATGTGAACTCCCGAAGGATACCGGTCCATGTAATCGATTTGTTACTAAATGGTACTATAATAAAAATGATGGTACTTGTACACGATTTCATTATGGTGGATGTGGTGGTACTGATAATCGTTTTGATAGCGAACAGCAATGTAAAAATGCATGTGGTAACTTTACCGGTTAGTTTTAGCTCTGTATTTTTTTTTTGAAAAAAAAAATTATTCAATAGAAGAAGATGTAATTCTAATAAATGAAAAAATAATACAAGTAATTAATTAGCTTTAAAATATGCTGGAATATAATACACACAAAGTAATAATAATATTTTTCATTGAAATCATCTTTTTTTCCCATTTAGCTCTTTTTTCATTCCTTTTTTTTCATCCATTTGTTTTTTTTTTAAATTATGAGAAATTTGTAATTAACTTTTTGTTTGATTAATTAGAAGTTTTTTGGCTTGAATTATAACTGAAATAAAATGAGAATATTAATGGAGAAAGAAAGAGAGAGGGAAAGGGAGGAAAATAATATATGATAAATTTTTTAAATGAAAAAAATTTTTGTTCCAGATCCATGTGAATTACCAAAAGTAAACGGGCCATGCTCTGGAAGACATAAACGATATTATTTTAATTCGGATACCGGTCGATGTGAACGTTTCGAATACGGTGGATGTTTAGGCAATACGAATAATTTCCTAAATCTTGCTGATTGTGAAGCAAAATGTTTATTATCGGAAGAACGTGAGTAATTAATATATCAAATCATTTATCACAATAAAATTTTATTGGAATAAAAAAATTTACCAACTATTAATTTACATTCAATTATTTCATTTCATAATTGAATTATCTCACTGTTACAAAAATTTGACCATCATATTGTTAGCAAACAGATGGTTGAATACTGTTATCAATTAATTACCCTGTTTTTTTTTTCAATTAAAATTGATAATTTTTTTTTTTGAAACGAATTATGAAATTATCAAATAGATATACAGATTAGTTAACAATAAAGATGGAAATTATAGATTGGTTTTAAGAAAAAAAAAATGCTCTTAGTTTGCATATCAATCAAATTTGTCTGTATTTGTTGATGTAACCTGTTTGTTTTCCGTAGTATATTTTAATATATCAATCCTTTTATGATAATTATTCAAGAATTTTCTTTTTTTTTATTTAAAGAATTCAAATTCATCATATTTTTTGCCTATGGAAGGTAATCTAAAGCAACAATTATCAATTTTTATTGGTTTCAATATTCATTCTTTTTCTTTCCTGTTATTGTTTTTTCGAAGATAATCCACTTTGTCATGATGAATTTTTAATAACTTTTAAATTATCTTTTTCTTTTCTTCCTTTTCATCTCTTTTTCTTCGCAACGGATATTTTCAATTTAAGAGAATGTATTGGTTTAAATCACTAGTAAGAATAAATTATTTCATATTTGCTAATTTGATGTATGACAATTGCATTGCGACAATACAGTAAATTAGATTCTATCAATGAATCTTTTTCTATGATTCTTTCAATTTTTCCGACCTTTGACCTTATAACTTCATTATTTTTCCAATTTTGACTCCTCTCTTGACCTGTTTCTTTAACTTCACCTTGATATTCAAATATCGACATAAATTATATGAACAATGATATATTTCATAAATATGGAATAAAATGAAAATAAATCTTACCTATCACTATCTCCTACCTATCATTATTCAACATTTCGACAACCATCGGTAAATTTCCTTATATCGTTTGGCAAACATTTTAACGCTTTAATTTTGTAAAATTTTCAAATAATTATAATTCTTTTAGTTTCTTTTGCACGGCATGTTTTTTTCTTGCACGTTATCATTCAGTGCTTTTCTTTTCTTTTATCATTTTAGTAAACGTTCTTTTCTAATTAATCGTTAACCTCTAGAAAAAATTAAATATCTAAAATGATATATAACATGTATTTGCGCATACTTTAAGGTATACAAGGAAGTATTAACAATTTAGCTGATAGTAAAATAAAAAGATATATTGAGAAAAATATGCCGATGAAATTTATAAAAAAAATTAAAATAATTATTCTACTCTAATCTTATGCTTTTAAAACTATCATCGGTAACAGTTTAATGCTAATTAATGAATTAATTCAAAATATTTGATGGTTAATATTTAGACGATATACAGCTAAGTTCATGAAAAGAAGTAATTCAATCCACTGTATTGAACAGTAACCAAATAACTGTAATAATTAAAGTTTTGATTAATTTGTCGAAAGATTTAGCAAGGATTAGCAGGAAATATATCCAAAATTTATCATATTTAACTATTAATTACATATTTGAAGATTGAAACTTGTAAACTTAGTCAATTTAAAATATGTTGTGACATGAATGATATTTAAAATTGTTGCAGTAAATAATAACAAAATATTTTAGGCAATTATATTTAAATTAACTAATTTAATCATTTTTTGTATTATCCGTTATCTAATAAATAATTAACATTTTGATGTGCTATTTAATAGCATATGCATCCATTATTCCAAATGATTCAGCAGCATTTGTTATTGCTAAATTAAATATCGTTTGCAGATTTCAACTGGGAAAATTCATTAACAACAAGACTGTGTTCATTACCTAAAATTAGTGAGTCATGCAGGTATGTGTAACAAATGTTCTTGGTAATTTAACATTATTGATTTGATGACTCATATTTATCCGATTTTGTCAAAAATTCTCGATCAACAATAAACCTAATGGTTCTAGATCAACTATAAGTTTTAGACCAAATGAATTGGGGTAATTCCGGGTCAATAATTAAATGAGTAATTCTAGGTCAACTGTAGATTCTAGACTATCAATAAAACGAGTAATTCTAAATCACAAATAAAACGAATAGTTTTAGATCTCGGTCAACAATACAATTTTAGATCAACTGTGAAACGATATTACTATGATGAATCACTTGGTGAATGTTTACCATTTTTTTATGATAATTGTATTGGAGATGAGAATGGTTTCGATAATATAAATGATTGTATAGGTAATTGCACTGCGCATTCAAATTTTCAGGTATCTTTTTTTTATAAAATAAATTTAACTCTTGAAATATGGAAATTTTCATTTTTTAATCTAATTTTTAGCTACAAAAACTAATAAATTTCATTACCAATCCTTATTCAAGCATATATTAGTGATTTGGTAATTTTACAAATTACCACATAATTATTTGAAAATGAAATGACGTACTGACAAAGTAACATCATATGTGATTAACTATACAAAAAATTAGAATGAAGAGTGATAATGATAATGAATGATGCAGAATAATTTGATGGTAAGCACAAAGATCAGTTACCGATAATACGTGAAGTTTTAAGTAATAAAATGATTTATTTTTAATGAAATATTAATATACACTAAATTATAATATATTAATAGGATTTTGAAACGAATGCCATATCAGTTGATAGACGCGTTAATCATTTCCAGAAAAATATCCGGCATAATGTTTACGGTGCAGTAAATCTTCACGTACAAAATGGAAATCATCTGGTAATGTGTTCATATACAAATTTTTATTCAGTCATTCAGTAATATATTTATATTATTACAGATAATTATTAATACTTTCATATTTTTAGGATACTTTATGTATTCGTATTATTACAATAAGTCAGTAATATAAAATCACATTATTAGGATAAATATTTGAATCATATATATATATAATTTATATTCATAGTCTATTCATATTATTATAATAATTTAGTAATACTTTCTATCGCTACGATAATTCAATAATATATTCATATTATATCAATCATTCAGTAATACATTCACATATACTACCGCAAAATTTCTATCTTTTAGACTAGTAAATTCTCAATACCTGAAATAAGTAGCACCAAATCGATTGCTACTACGGTAACGGCGGTAATAGAATTTGATGGAACAACGCCCAGTCTGGATGGTAGATTTAGCAAGGAGAATGATAGTGAAGGAAAAATGATAATGATTGATACTGGTGAAGGAATTGAATCTTTCTTATCCCTACCAGGTATTTCAATTTTCTGTCACAATATTCTTCCATTCATAAAATTTTAAAATTTAAATGATTAATGTTAAATGATATTTGAGAATTACAGAGCTATGTTTGTTACCGGAAGATGCGGGACCTTGTTTTGGTGAAATTTTGCGATGGCGATATAATTCGGAAACAAATCACTGTGAAACATTCATCTATACCGGTTGTGGACATAATGCAAATTATTTTACTTCAGAAGAAGCCTGTTTAAGAGCATGTGGAGAATATCGAAATAGCGGTATTTGATTAATTAAAAAATATTCAAATAAAGCAATAGAATGAGTATGATTAATATATCTAAGATGAAATTATTGCTCATTTATCTTCAATTTTTTTTAAAAATTCTTCTAACATGGATTTTCAATTTTTTTTTTGAAAGTAATATATTACTTGTAGCTTCTTGTAAGTAGTATGTTTAATGTGATAAAAATGAAAATAGCCAGATTTGAATATTTGACTAATTCTGAAATTGCGTAAAATTTCAATTTAATATTGAAAGTGATGCTATTAAAAGAATTAATAGTTTAGATGTATGTATGATGAAAGTGGACCGTGGTCAGTGTGAATTAGGTGTAACAAAGTGGTACTACAATATGGATACTGGTCAATGTCATGTATTCATTTATACTGGTTGTGGTGGTAATGGTAATCGATTTTCTTCAAAAGCTGAATGCCAACATCTTTGCACATCCGAAATACTTTTTTACACTGATAATAACGGTTAGCTAAAATTTGTTATTAATTTAATCAATTAAAAGATTGATCTTTGAATGGATTGATTAATATTTCAGAAAAAGATATATGTCAATTAGATCGAGAAAGTGGTCCATGTACTGATCCAGTAACACAATGGTATTTTAATGCAAGTTTATCACAATGTATGCAATTTACATATGGCGGTTGTCGTGGTAATGCTAATCGATTTAATAGTCAAAAACTTTGTGAGCAACGATGCTTACAAAAAAATGAAATGAAAGTAAGAATTGATCGAACAAAAGGTAAAATTTGCAAAGAGGATTAAAATTGGATAAGATAATTTGATCAGTATTTTAAATCTTATCTCAACAATTTCAATCATTTTAACGATGAAAATTAGGCAAATGAAATTATTTGAATAGCTAATATTTATAAGACTATTTGCGCAATCATTTCACTGTAGTAAAAGAATATTGTTTGCAATGAGCTATTTATATTAGTACTGATATCATATGATATGGATAAAATGTAATAAAATATCGCTTGAGTAATTTAATTAATTTTTATGTACCAAACAGGTATCATTTGTAGATGATTGTTTATTGCCATTCGAAGTTGGATCATGTCAAAATAATCAACAACGATGGTATTTTGATAAATCTGCGGGATATTGTACAAAATTTATGTATAGCGGATGTGGAGGCAATCAGAATCGTTTTTTCAGTGAAGATGAATGCATGCATTACTGGTAATTATTAACTATAGAGTTACAGTGCTAGAGATATCACTGGTAATTATTAATTGTAGAATTATAGTGATAGGGATATTACAACGACAGAGATACTACAGTGATAGTTATATTACAGTATAGAGATATTACGGTAATAGAGATACTACAGTAATAGAGATATTACAGTGCTAGAGATATAAGATATCACGGGAGAATAACAGTTATTCGAAAATGCAATTATATCAGTTAAATAATTACAATTATTTATGATATCTTTATTTAATGAAATTAGAAAGACTCAGGAAAAGGTGATATCGCTATCCGAAATGAAAGAGATGTTTGTTCGAAAATATAACATTTTAAAATGAATGTTTGATGAAATTAGAAAGGTTAAAGAGAATAAGATATCTATCTCTATATGGAATGAAATAGATAAAATGGAGTGGATATTAATTTGGAAATACGATTATATCATTTATAGAATTACAATTACTCAAGTTATCTTAATGAATAATTCGATTAAATTTTAGAAAGATTTCGGAAAAGATGATATTTCTATCCGGAAAGATGAAAGTTATTTATTTGATAATATAATTTTCTTTTTTATTGCTAAGCAAATATTTATGAAGTGCTTATTGTTTAGCTCTGTTCATTTGCATAAAAGACGACTGAAAATGAGCCGTCCAATGCTTATCCTTATCGGTTATAATCCGGTACCTGTAGGATCAACAATAACATTAAGATGTAAAGCTAATAAACAGTATCCCGTACAGTGGCACAAAAATGGTGTATTATTTCAAATTTCAAACAATGATCAAAGGATATATGTAAGTATTTTCTTTTAAAGTTTAAAATTTCATCAAATTTTCAAATTTATTGCTTCATTTTAAGCAGTCTTTTTCATTTAGTTTTTTGTTTGTTAAGATTATAGTAATTTTGTTAATTTTCCCTCTCAATTGCTAAGATTATTATCTTTTCGCATTTTGAAACACTTCTTTCTTTTATATTTTTTCATTCTGGAAAGTAATTTTAAAATATTAAAAATTATATCAACAGAAAATCCTATTATTTGATTTCGTATCAGTTGAAAAATTTTGCTTGTAAGATTTTATATTGTAAAAATAAAAGGAAAAAGATTTCAGGACTTTAAAATTTTAAGCCATGTAATCGAGATGAAGGAACTTTATCATCTGTTTGCATGATTAGTGATAACGAATTGCTGCAAGCATTATCATTTATCATTTTCATTCTCATTTAATATTTAATGAATCTGCAGGAAGCCTAAATAATAATGACCTTTGATGCAATAGTGATCTTCCGGACAAATTTCACTGGTTATTTTCAAACTGGATTGATTAAAAGGATGATAAAATACTGATTGCATAATTATTATTTTAAGTTTCAACTTTTAATTCTCTCTTTCATCAAACTGAAAACGAATTATATAATACTGCAGATGAACGATGATCATAGCGAACTACACATTACTAATATACATCAATCGGATGTCGCCAATTATTCATGTTCTGTTAGCACAAATGCCATTTTATCCAATTCCATTCATTTAGACATCAAAGGTATTAAAGTTAATTTTATTTAAATCATTCAGTATTTAATCAAAAATACCAATGAATGATAGTTTATACTGCTGCTATCAATCGATATTTTGATATTGAAAAAAAGAAAAATGCTAAATATTTTTCCTACTGAATAATAATTAGTTCTAATTTATTTTAAATTCAATTATAATAAATTTTAGATGTTGAAATGATCGAATCATGTGTGGATAAAGGTAATCAGATGACATGTAAATTAATTACTAGAATTGGATTATGTTCGAATCCACGTTACAGTAGTTTTTGTTGCCATACGTGCTCTCTCTTTCTTTTATCCAATAAATTCACATAGGTAAATTAATACTCATATTATTCAAATGATTACTCACACATTATCCAATTTCTAGCATCAGTAAATTTATTCTGTTACAACTAATATTACATCATTCATAGCATGAAAAGTAGTTTAACTTATATCATTCATTATATGAAATGTAAGTTCAACTTATAAATTACCATTTACTATTTCTTATCATTTATTATGCAAAATTGCTTTCCCGTTACTTAATGTTTTTGGTGACGAATGCCTTAAAAAGATCACATTTCATTCCCTAAGGCATTTCAAATTTCTAACAGTAGTATATGACATACTTCAATTTAATATAATTCCATCATTTATTATGTTGAATAAATAGATGTGTTGCTTGTTTAACTTATAATTTTACTATGATAATGAAGTCGCAGTTATTGTTTCAATAAATAATTTTATTAAGAGATCTAATCATAAAGATAATATATGCTTTTTGAAATAGTATCTATTCTTTTTTCCTCGTATCAAGAATTTATTCCATTACTTATCATTTTTGCTTCGTTATTTATTATTTATTATCATTATCATTATCGTTGTCACTACTGTAATTATCATTTATTATTATTATCATTATTACCATTGTTATCATTATTATCACTATTATCGCTGCTATTGTTATTATCATCATTAATTATCAATATTGATTATTATTATTACTAATTACTATTATCTATGTCTGAATATATATTGCAAATTTTAACATGTCAAATTTTTTTCAACACTAAAAAAAATATTAAGATTTTGTAAATTAAGCAATAATTTTCATTCAAATGTAAAAGTGCTACTATCATTTATGTAAATGCATGTTTTAATGACTTACCAGAAATATTCGAAATCATCTCATCGGATGGGTGCAGTATTTTGATTATATCGATTATCAAGGAAGTGAAAAAGAATAAACTTATCTATTTACAACTGTTATGAATTTAAAATTTGAAGAAAAAACATATCTTCATCTATTTTTCGCAATTTGTTGACAAAAAAGTGTATTTTATATAATATATAGCATTTATGTATCGAAGTTTATTTTATAAAATAGCACATGAACAATGTATTCGAAATTAATTAAAAATTTGCAATTCATCAAACATTAACAAATATTTCAACAGAGAGAGTGAGAGAGAGAAAAAAAAGATAACAGAGAAACCGCGTATTCTTAACATAAAATTCCATTTTTTATAAGTTCAAAAAAAAAGAGTGTTTCACAAACAGAAATATGTAATTATTAAGACTGTTCGATCATTTAACATGAAATGCATTATTTCTTATCACATAATAAAGATATCAAAATTAACAAAAAAAAAAATATCTATCAAAAGAATTACCGATTGAATCATTTCATGTAATAAAAAAGAAAACACAAAATACAAAACAAAAAACCGTTAACTAAACACACATTACTAGCAATTGCAAAATAAATTTGTAAATTTAAAATAAAGAAGCTATATCAAAAATTTTTAAAAATGAAAAATAAAAATACATGCCTTTGCAAAATTTACCAATCACCACCACCTAAATCACCTCCATCAAAATCACCTCCACCAAAATCATCACCACCACCTATATCATAACCACCATAATCATCTCCTCCTCCTATATCATAATCACCGGAATTTTCATAATCTCCTCCTCCTCCCCCACTCACATCATAGCCATCGTAATAATCCTGTACCGTTTCCGGATTATTTGTTGAATCAGCTGTCTCGATAGTTGATGATCCCGCATTATGTTCACTAATTGTACCTCTATTTTCTGGATCACTACCAAAGTAATTGTTGGTGATATATGTATCGTTATCCTGAAATTTCCTTCAAAAGTAAACTCTTTATTTTTTTTTCCTTCTTTTCCTATTAATTTTAACATAATCCAATTAAAATTTTTACTAAAAACTTAAACGAAAAAGTTTAATTTTCACATATATCTTTATGTATATTGTTAATTGAATTATTTATATGTAATTAATTCCAATAAAAGTATAAAAATTATCATTTAATTCCTTTTTATCCTCTCAATTCCTACAAAAATAGCTCTTTATTTTTTGTAATTAAACAAAAATTATATAACATAATTTTTTTTACCTGCATATATGCTCCACCAAAACCACCGCCCATTCCATGATGTGATGGATAACAGTGACCACCCCAACCAAATCCTGAATGTAAACCACCACCCCACATACTTCCTAATCCAAAGCCCAGCAATGAACCCATTAACATGCCAGTTCCAAGACCAGGACCACTACTACTACCACCACCATATCGTTGTCCGTAACCTCCTCCATTTCGATCCTGTAAAAAAAAAATGAGTAAAAAGTTTTACATTTATTTATATCTTAAGAAAAAAAAACACAAAAATAATAAAAACAATACAATAAATTAACGTACAATAATAACTGTGGTACCACCACCACTACCACCATAATTTGGTACCGTTGAAGGATATGCTGGTGGTTGTGATGGAATTGTTGGTGGATTATATATTGGTTGGCTAGGGAATGTATTGGTCATTTGAGATGGACCACTCGGATATACTGGTGGAGGATCTAAATTTGTTGAATTATTCATTAAACAAGCAAGCAGTTTTTTTTTTTTTTTTT